AAATGTTAAAAAAAAAAAAAAGGTTTGGTGCCATTAGGGTTCACTATATAAGGGCTTTACTGTATATAAAAATGAAATACTAAACTGAAGTTTGTTACTCTTCTCTACCAAAACTACTGAATAGGAAATTTTACATGTAGGATTATGTTTACAAAATAAAATCCACGTACAATAGAACCTCCCTGTAAATGACACCTAATTTTGACAACTAAAATATATATGTGAAAAGTAGGAAAATCTCTAACTGACACCTCTACATAACGGAAGAAGGACAATACCCAATAGCGGCTAAGTCATTAGGAAGCATAAACGGGATAAGTCTCCAACTCCATTCTACAAGAAGTATGGGAATCGAACCCACAGTGTTCCGCTTACCGGGCAGATGCCATGTCAACTAGGCTCTACCCTAGAATTACAAGAAGTATGGAGGGAAATACTCAACTTTGAACCTTTAAGTTAGAAACAGCTTCTAGAGGCGGATGAATCTATTATTAAGTTCACAGTATATGGATGTGGTAAGCAAAGAGAAAAACCACCTCATTATTTTTCCAATGAAAATCCTCCATGAATGAACCAACTGGACCAAATCAGCGTACCATCTGATTTTCCCTTATTTGCTTATATGACATTCAACAATTACAAGAGATCATATCAATAATTCCATTAAATATCATTATTCTTCATTTCGATTTAGACGCTATGTCCCCCTAGAGACACTTGCACTTTAAAGATAAACAAAAATTTTGAAAGAAAAGAAAGAAATTTATTTTAAATATGTACAGAATTAGTATGCAAGTTAGATGAATTACCAATTCTCTCACTGTTATGTATTGATAAAGTCATTTCTTATAAATATTCACAAATAATTATATAAAGCGACATTTGAAAATTATCCCGCATGTGTTTCTTTTCAACGAAAAATCAAAATTTATTTCAAGGAGAAATAACGATTATTTCTAACCTTTGGGATGAGGTATGAAAGTATGAATTGTTAAAAGTAATGATTTCCCATCCCTGGACACTTTTATTTTTCCGTTTATCATTACACTTCACAATTCACCCTTTCATACCTCATCACAAAGGTTAGAAATAATCGTTACTTCTCCTTGAAATAAATTTTGATTTTTCGTTGAAAAGAAACACATGCGGGATAGTATTTCAAATGTCGTTTTACAATCACAAGCCTCATTATATTGTATTGTATTATAAATAATTATATATTAATAAACAGAGTAATATCATCACTGATATAGAATATTCGATCTATCATCATCATAGATATGTAAATAGGGTATCTTAAGAAACGTCTATTCAAATTTAAATATAGATTTAAAAAAAAAAAGTTAACTTTGATTTTAAATCAACTGATAAATAATTCCTTTCTCTTCACATAAAAGACTTAACACTCACTATACTTTTTTCCTTGAAACACCTAGATGATCTTAAATTAAATATATATATGTGGCAATATCGTTGCGGGGTTTCTTGTTGTTGGATGCGAATGGTGAGATTTGGTTGAAGCGCAGCCGTTTGAGTGGAAGTTGCAGCATACAGTTAGGAATAATCAGGACACGTGATTGAGTTTGAAAATAAAAGGCAACTGGGTTGGAGGGAAGAAAGCTTGAGAAGAGTTGAGCGATTTGACTTATTAATTAGTTGATCACATGGCGATGATGGGATTTAGATGAAATGAGCGGAGGGAGAGAGATCTCTAGAGTAGATGTTACCTTGTTGGAAGCGAAGGAGCAACTGTCCGAACTCGGCGAGAGCCACTGAACAACTGTAGGTGTTGTTCCTATGAGAGCGAAAACGTAACTGACCATTCTTGCTTTTCGATTTAACACCAAGACTCAGTTTCTCTCTGATTGGTCGAGAGATGTCACATGATCTTTTCTTATTGGTTGACCTACTTAAGGTGTTGTCTTCTGATTGGTCGAGAGATGTCACATGATCTTTTCCTATTGGTTGACCTACTTAAGGTGCTGTCTTCTGATTGGCCCGCGGCTCTCCTTGATGAAAGATATGGTCTGCCTGACAGGAAGTGTCGAGTGTTATTTACTTCCGCGTTATCAAAATACGTCCTGCTTTGTCAGGAAGTATTGTGTGCATCTTGACGAATATAACTTCTGCGGTCACTAGATACGTCCTGTTTTTCCAGGAAGTGTTGGTTTAAACTTAGCTCGCAGGGACCCGGGGTCAGAAGGTTAACTGCGACGTTATTAATAAATATGCTCTCCTCTAGATTTACTTCCTATGTCTTTTGTTACTTTCTTTCCTCCAGTTACCTTATTCTTTTATTAAATCTTTGAAAATCATACATGATACATACATAGTGGGTCGGGGTTGCATTTAATTATATACAAATTATGACAGATGCGCCCCCTACATGTGAAGAATTCAAGAAGGGGTTAGTCTGAGAGAATTCTGTAAAATGAAAAATAATTTTGTGGGAAAATTAGTTGTGGGTATTGAGTCTATATACAAGCATTGGTGGCGATATAATAAGTAAAATAGAATGGTGTTGATGATATAGGTTGAGTATAATTAATAGAAATCAAAAATTTTTAATTGTAAGAAATCAATGAATGCTATGGTACATAGTGGGCTAAAAAAGGAAAATGTGCCTAAACGAATTCTACTCGAGATAAGAAAGGAGATCGAGGGAGTTCTATTAAGGTTTTTGAAATCAAAATAAAAACAATATAAAAATAGTTGAATGAAATCAAAATTGAATGTTTTTGGTTGAAAAAGAAAAATTGTTTTGTTGCATGGTGATAAGGGAAAATGCCTAGTTACTTTTTTTGCTCGAATTTGGAAAAGAATTCGAGGGAATTTCATAAGGTCTTTTGAAATCAAAATAAAATAAAATAAAAGTTTTTTGAGCGAAATCAAAGTTGAGTGCTTGATTGAATGGTGAAAAAAAAAGGAAAAATGCCTAACCATATTCTATTCGAGATTGGGAATGAAATCGAAGGAATTCTATTAGGTCTTTTGAGAAATCAAAAATAAAAATAAAATAAAAGTTTTTTGAGCGAAATCAAAGTTGAGTGCTTGGTTGAATGGTGAAAAAAAAGAAAAATGCCTAACCATATTCTAGCTCGAAATTGGGAATGGAAACCGAGGGAATTTTATTAGGGTTTGTGAGAAATCAAAATAAAAATAAAAATAAAATTTCATAAGGTATTTTGAAATCAAATAAAAATAAAAGTGGTTGAGCGAAATCAAAGTTGAGTGTTTGGAAAAAAAAAGAAAAATGAACAATAAAAAGGTTTCTCTCTCTCTCAACAACAAAGGGTGATTTAATGTTTTTAGTTTAATCGAAAACCAATGAGTTTTCGTTGATAATTGAGTTGTGGCAGTTTAAGCTAAGTGGTAAATAGAATGATAATTGATAAATAAAAATGATAATATAAACTAATTGGAAAATAAATGATAATTGATGATTAAAAGTGCTAATAAATTGAATTAATTGATAAATTGATTAAATATTTAAATTTTAATTGAGAGAAAATAATGAAAATGATTGATATGAAAAATAAGGTGTATTGGTTGGAACCCTTTGGTATCTACATGCCCTGATCTACATGTATTGGTTGCTCCATTTTGCCCTATAAATGTTTTACTTGCTCAATTATGCCCTATAAATTTTTTGTCTCATCTGTAGCGACACTTAGGTGAAAAACGTGATTCTAGCCCTCAAGTGCGTTTATGCTGTGTGTACAGGAGACATGGAAATCTATATAACCTTTATGTGTAATTTTTTGTCTTTGTGTGTGTGTTGTGAAAAAATGTTAGAAGTCGGTTGTGTAAGAAATGTGTGAGCTAGTTCTATGTGTTGTCTCGTGGATGTGGAATTGGGTGGTAAACATCGATATGTAGACTCGAACTGGAATCAAAAATCGGTGTCATAGCGAGGTTCCCAGTTGACCTCAATAGGGGATCTTCTCATTGTAATTAGAGATACGGAAGTGGGGTGTGTCGGGCAAACGAGAGGGAATGAAATTGGAGATCGGACGAAGGCGTTCCGTTTTGTTTGCATAGGCCGAATTTAACCGCCGCGGACTACACCTCCTGTCGTGGTGTCTCAAAATTCTCGTTTCCTGCCGTCTATTTAATTTTGGTGCGGCTCAGATCTTGTTTTTGGAGCGTGATTTCTCCGACACTGGTTGGTCATCTTTCAGTTACTGCTATCTTTTCGGAGTTTATTTAGATTTTCTGCGAAGATGGTTCCTAAAATTATGAGAAGTTTTATAAATGTTTGTCCTAAATTAAAAACTACCTCTCGTAGTTCGAAGATTTTCTGCGCGGGCATGGCATAGATAAACAAGTAATTAATGAATAAAATTGGGATACAGTTGTACGGTAGAACTAATAAACCAAGGGTAAAAATCAGATGAAAGATAGGATATTGTCCCATGTTGGTCCATATTTTTGTAACTGGGGACTCTGAAATATTTGCTTGAACCTTATTAATTGTAGAATTTGAATGATTGGTAGGTTCGCAGTTCTCCTGTTTGATATCTTTAGGGGGTGGTGTGATATGATTGAGCTGGTTGTCAGGTTTGCAGTTTTTAACATCGGGGAAGAGTGATGTAAATCGTCTTGTTGCAAAAATGGCAGGGTCTAAATGCCTGAAAGGTTCGCTGCTGGTGGGTTTGAACCTTAATGACTCTGTTGGGAATAATTCGGGTGTTAAATGTTTGAAAGGGAACGTGTAATTGGGGTTGTGCTTTATATGATAGGTGCTAACGGCGGGTGGTGATATATAATGGATTTTTTCTGTATACAGTTTAAGTTTGTTGACGTGGATTGTGTCAGTGTCTCTTTGAAGTGGTTGATTTGGTCGATCTATGCGGACCACATTTGGTGAAATAATTTCTAATATTGTGTGAGGTCCTGTGAAATATGGCGCAAGTTTCCCTGTATTTGGGTGGTGATATAATTTTACTAATACTAGATCACCTACTTCGAAATGTGGTTGCTTGTGTCGTTGGTCATAAGTGTTTTTGTCTTGTAAATGTTTGTTTTGTGTGCGTGTGTGTGCAATTTTTCTAGCTTTGTCGATATCTGGGTACGGTGTGTTATGATTAGAGATTTCTGGGGGTAGGATACCAAACATTAAGTATATGGGTGGAAAACCTGTGGTAGAGTGGGGTGTCTTGTTATATATAAGTGTAACCTTCTTGACCAACTTGGTCCACGCGACCTTAGGATTTTCTAGGTGTAATAACCTAAGTTTTCCCGTGAGGGTGGCGTTCAGGCGTTCACATAGGCCGTTGGCTTGTGGGTTGTTGCTGGTTGTGATTAACGGGTGAATATTTCTATTAAGGAGAAAACTACGAAATTTGGGTGAAGTGAAGGCAGGGGCTCTATCCGTAAGAAGGCGTTTTGGAGAACCATCCTGGAATACT